CTTTGGAGGTCATCTAGTCCAACCCCCTGCTCAGGCAGGAAACCCTAGACCATTTCGGACAAATGGCTGTCCAGTCTCTTCTTAAAAGCCTCCAGTGTTCACAACATCCGGATAACAGCAACAACAATAACAGAGTGGGAAGGGACCTTGCGGGTCATCTAGCCCAACCCCGCGCCCAAGCAGAAGGCCCTGCACCCTTCCTGACGGCCGTCCGTCCAGTCTCTTCTTGAAAGCTTCCAGGGATGAAACCAGCATGCACAGAGGAGAGCTGTTCTACAACATCCTTTATGCCAGACGAGGAAAAACTGGGGACATCGTGGTTACCTTGGCCGTCCGACTGTACTCCAGGCAATCCTGAAGCTCCAGCTTGTCTCCTTTCGAGGCCACCACAGGCCTGCAAAGAGAAAAAGATTGACGACAGACCCTGTGCCATCCACCGCCCCCCACCCCACCCCCCACCCGCAATGCCTTCCCCCAAAGTCATGCTACTCAAAGTTTGCACGGTGCAGGGAAGGCTCCCCCCCCCCAGGAAAGCAGATCACAAGATACAGACAGAGGAGAGAGCGTTTGTGGCTCAGGGCCGAAATGAGGGGGTCCTGGTTACTCTCTGAGCAGGGTGGTTTCAAGACATCTCATGACCCAGCTAGGGAATGTCATCAGTGCTAGAAGGGAGGAGGAGGAGGATTGTAGGGTCCTTGGTGCTCTCTGAGCTTGGTTGTTTTTTTGCAGACATTTCATGGCCCAACTAGGTAACATCATCAGTGGTAGAAGGGAGAGGAGGAGGAGGAGTGTGGAGTCCTTGGTGCTCTCTAAGCTCCTCCTCCTTCTCCTCCTCCTCCTCCTCCTCCACTCCACAAACCACCCTCCATTCTAGCACTGATGATATTACCTAGATGGCTCATGAAATGTCTGCAGAAAAACCACCAGGCTCAGAGACCATCCAGGACTCCTCAGACCAAAAGATACACACACACACACACACACAGAGAGAGAGAGGGGGGGGGCAAGAGGGGGGGCATCAATAGGAGGCTCCTCCCAGTGCCCAGAAGAATGACAAAGGGGGACCCCTTGGCTGAGGGAAGTCCCTGAATACGCATCATGAGCATCCTGGACTTTTTCATTCGCGCCCAGCTTGGCAGCCATTTTGTGAGTGTGCACGGCGGCCTCGCTTTCCTGAAAGGGACCCCTGCTCCCTCTCCACCTGACAAGCGTACAACGCACACCCCCAGCCTCCCCCGTCTTCTAGGGATCGCACTAAGCGGGCTGCACATCAGGCGGCCCCCTCCCCCTGCAGCTCCCACCTGAGCCAAGGCAGGTCGAGGGCCGCGGGGTGCCAACCTCTCTCTTACCTCTTCATCCCTGGCAGGTTGCCCCAAAAATATCTGGCTCTGTGCGCAGCAGAGACCTTGATGGCATCGATCATCACCGGGTTGCACTGCGGAGAAATGGAAAGGAGTTAGCTGGGGGGGGGGGAATCCCCAGTCCCAGCATGGAGGGTGTTACAGAGTTGGGTCATGAATGGTCTGCAAGAAAAGCCCCAGGCTCAGAGAGTACCCAGGACCCCACAGTCCTCCTCCACCTCCTCCCTTCTAGCACTGATGATGTTCCCTAGTTGGGTCATGAAACGTCTCCAAGGAAAGCACCAAGCTCAGAGAGCGCCAAGGACCCCACAGTACTCCTCCTCCTCTCCCTTCTAGCACTGATGATACTACCTAGTTGGGTCATGAAACTACCTAGTTGGGTCTCCAAGAAAACAGCCAAACAGAGAGCACCAAGGACCCCACAGTCCTCCTCCTCCTCTCCACAATCTCCACTCTCTTCTAGCACTGATGATGTTACGTAGTCAGGTAATGAACACACCCAACCTCAGAAAACACTGAGGACCCCCCCCAAATCCACAAAGATTGGCAGGAAGAGCTGGGCACGATGGCCTAAAGCAGCCTTTCTCAACCTCGATCACTCCTAAGCTGCGGGGACTACAACTACCACGTTGGCCCAGCCAAGGAGTGGCTGATGTTTCAGTCTCCTCACGTTGTCTCTCAGCTGCCACGAACTCTTACGAGTTCAGGGCAGCCCCTCAAAGCCCCCCTTTCCTTGGTCTCTGAGTGTCATGGTTCCGACAGATGAAACTCTTCCAAGAACTTCGAGGCATTGTTTGCCTTAAAGAATCTTTATTTGAGAAGCATAGCGTTGGCACTAACACAATTGAAGCCAAAATCTGGATTCCCCTCCTCTGAGCGCATAGTATCCAAGCACAATTCCCTCCTCCAATTAACCACCATAAATCACATTCTCCAATTAGCTTGAAATGCAGGCCTTCCCTCCAGTTCTCCAGCCCGCCATTTCTTATCCTCTCTTATTTCAACAACCTTGATTCTCATGCTAGGTTCAGTATTATTCTGTCTATCTAAACTCTCCTGCACAATCCTCCCCCACACAGCATCATCTAACTCTCGTCAAAGCAAAAACACCCGATGTTAGCGGCGTGGACCCTGAGCCCCCGTGGACCCCGCCGCAGCTTTTACCTCCAGGAACCGGGAGATGTCCCTCTTGTCGTTGACCCGCATGGACACCACGTTTTCAAAGAGCCAGAAGAAGGGACGGTCTTCCCCAACCTTGGGGCGGGTGTAATTCAGAAGGTGGTAGAACTCGAAGAAAAGCCGGCCAGTCCCTTCTGCCAGCCAGAACGGAGGAGAGAGGAAGGGTCAGGGAGAGCTTAGCGGCCCGGATCAGCCCAAAGACAACTCGAACACGGACCTCGGACGGCTCAGCTTACCATACAAACCTTTTCTGGCGGGGTTGACGATGGACAGGTCGTTGCAGGGGCTTCCGCCAATCACCAAATCGAAGGGACCCCACTCGTCAATCTGCAAGGGAGACCTGCTGTTAAGGGACGAGTCTCCGTCCCACGACAGCTTCCTTCTTTAAGTAACTAGTCCTCTTGTTACAACTGTCAGGGAGCTCGGGTTGTCGTTGCGCTCTAAATTGGGTCGCCCACGCAGCCGGCCCCATTTGATGACCTGTTTCGCGGGCCGTCGTTATAGGCCACTGCGATGTTGTTATGGGAAGTGTGGGTTTGATGGGGTGGGGGGCGGTTTTGCCGAAAACTGGAAGTCGGTTCCAGGTTTGGGCGAAACCATCGTAAAATGCAGACACGTGATTGGAGCAGGCTGCAGTTCCATCATGAAACCTCTGCACGGAAGTAAGCAAGCTTCGAGAGGACTTAAGACCCCAGAGTTCTCCCCCATTTCTCTTCCTCCTCCACTCCTAGTACTGATGATGTCACCTAGTTGGGTCATGAAACGTCTGCAAGGAAACCACCCAGCTCAGACAGCACCAGGTTTTCCTCTTCCTCCTCCTTCCCCCCTTCTCCTGCTCGTCCTCCTCTCCTTTTCCATGCCACAAACCCCCTCCCTCTAACACTGATGAGGTTAGATAGTTTGGTCATGTAGCATCTCCAAGAAAACAACCAACCTCAGAGTGCACCAAGGACCCCAAAGTCATCGTTCTCCTCCTCCTCCTCTTCCTGTTCTCTACACAGCCACAAATGAATTCCATTGAAATTTTTGAGAATATTAAGGTCAACTGATTTGTTGCTACCTGTGCCTATGTGCAGAAATCTTCTCAACTCACAATTAGCACTTGCTAAGAATTAAATAAAGGTCCTTGGTGCTTGGTGGTTTTCTCATAGATGTTTCATGACCCAACTAGGGAACAGCATCAGTGCTAAAAGGGAGGAGGAGGAGGAGGAGGAGGAGGAGGAGGAGGAGGAGGAGNCTTTGGAGGTCATCTAGTCCAACCCCCTGCTCAGGCAGGAAACCCTAGACCATTTCGGACAAATGGCTGTCCAGTCTCTTCTTAAAAGCCTCCAGTGTTCACAACATCCGGATAACAGCAACAACAATAACAGAGTGGGAAGGGACCTTGCGGGTCATCTAGCCCAACCCCGCGCCCAAGCAGAAGGCCCTGCACCCTTTCTGACGGCCGGCCGTCCAGTCTCTTCTTGAAAGCTTCCAGGGATGGAACCAGCATGCACAGAGGAGAGCTGTTCTACAACATCCTTTATGCCAGACGAGGAAAAACTGGGGACATCGTGGTTACCTTGGCCGTCCGACTGTACTCCAGGCAATCCTGAAGCTCCAGCTTGTCTCCTTTCGAGGCCACCACAGGCCTGCAAAGAGAAAAAGATTGACGACAGACCCTGTGCCATCCACCGCCCCCCACCCCACCCCCCACCCGCAATGCCTTCCCCCAAAGTCATGCTACTCAAAGTTTGCACGGTGCAGGGAAGGCTCCCCCCCCCCCAGGAAAATAGATCACAAGATACGGACAGAGGAGAGAGCGTTTGTGGCTCAGGGCCGAAATGAGGGGGTCCTGGGTATTCTCTGAGCCAGGTGGTTTCAAGACATCTCATGACCCAGCTAGGGAATGTCATCAGTGCTAGAAGGGAGGAGGAGGAGAAGGAGGAGGAGGAGGACTGTGGGGTCACTGGTGTTGTTTGAGCTTGGTGCTTTTCTTGCAGACGTTTCATGGCCCAACTAGGGAACGTCATCAGTGGTAGAAGGGAGGAGGAGAAGGAAGAGGAGGACGACAACTGTGGGGTCCTTGGTGCTCTCTGAGCTTGGATGTTTTCTTGCAGACGTTTCATGACCGAACTCAGGAACATCATCAGTGTTAGGAGGAGGAGGAGGAGGAGGAGGAGGACGACGACGACGACGACGACGACGACGACGACGGTGGGGTCCCTGGTGTTCTTTGAGGTTGGTGGTTTTCTTGCAGACGTTTCATGGCCCAACTAGGTAACGTCATCAGTTGTAGAAGGGAGAGGAGGAGGAGGAATCTGGAGTCCTTGGTGCTCTCTAAGCTCCTCCTCCTCCTCCTTCTCCACTCCACAAACCACCCTCCATTCTAGCACTGATGATATTACCTAGATGGGTCATGAAATGTCTGCAAGAAAACCACCAGGCTCAGAGATCACCCAGGACCCCTCAGACCAAAAGATACACAGAGAGAGAGGGGGGGCATCAATAGGAGGATCCTCCCTTGCCCAGAAGAACAACAAAGGGGGACCCCTCGGCTGAGGGAAGTACCCGAATACACATCACGAGCATCCTCGACTTTTTCATTCGCGCCCAGCTTGGCAGCCATTTTGTGAGTGTGCATGGCGGCCTCGCTTTCCTGAAAGGGAACCCCTGCTCCCTTCTCCACCTGACAAGCGTACAACGCACACCCCCAGCCTCCCCTGTCTTCTAGGGATCGCACTGAGCGGGTTGCACAGCGGCCGGCCTCCTCTCCCTGCAGCTCCCACCTGAGCCAAGGCAGGTCGAGGGCCGTGGGGTGCCAACCTCTCTCTTACCTCTTCATCCCTGGCAGGTTGCCCCAAAAATATCTGGCTCTGTGCGCAGCAGAGACCTTGATGGCATCGATCATCACCGGGTTGCACTGCGGAGAAACGGAAAGGAGTTAGCTGGGGGGTGGGGGAATCCCAGCACGGAGGGTGCTACAGAGTTGGGTCATGAAAGGTCTGCAAGAAAGTCATCAGAGGGCACCAAGGACCCCCCCAGTCCTCCTCCTCCTCCTCCCTTCTAGCACTGATGATGTTCCCTAGTTGGGTCATGAAACGTCTCCAAGGAAAGCACCAAGCTCAGAGGCGCCAAGGACCCCACAGTCCTCCTCCTCCTCCTCCTCCTCCCTTCTAGCACTGATGATGCTCCCTAGTTGGGTCATGAAACGTCTCCAAGAAAACAGCCAAACAGAGAGCACCAAGGACCCCACAGTCCTCCTCCTCCTCTCCACAATCTCCACTCTCTTCTAGCACTGATGATGTTACGTAGTCAGGTAATGAACACACCCAACCTCAGAAAACACTGAGGACCCCCCTCTCAGCTGCCACGAACTCTTACGAGGTCAGGGCAGCCCCTCAAAGCCCCCCTTTCCTTAGTCTCTGAGTGTCATAGTTCCGACAGATGAAACTCTTCCAAGAACTTCGAGGCACTGTTTACCTTAAAGAATCTTTATACGAGTAGCATAGTGTGGGCACTAACACAATCGAAGCCAAAATCTGGATTCCCCTCCCCTGAGCACATAGTATCCAAGCACAATTCCCTCCTCCAATTAACCACCATAAATCACATTCTCCAATTAGCTTGAAATGCGGGCCTTCCCTCCAGTTTTCCAGCCCGCCAATTCTTATCCTCTCTTATTTCAACAACCTTGATTCTCACGCTAGGTTCAGTATTATTCTGTCTATCTAAACTCTCCTGCACAATCCTTCCCCCCGCCCAGCATCATCTAACTCTTGTCAAAGCAAAAACATCCGATGTTAGCGGCGTTGACACTGGACCCCGCCGCAGCGTTTACCTCCAGGAAACGGGAGATGTCCCTCTTGTCGTTGACCCGCATGGACACCACGTTTTCGAAGAGCCAGAAGAAGGGACGGTCTTCCCCAACCTTGGGGCGGGTGTAATTCAGAAGGTGGTAGAACTCGAAGAACAGCCGGCCGGTCCCTTCTGCCAGCCGGAAGGGAGGAGAGAGGAAGGGTCAGGGAGAGCTTAGCGGCTCGGATCAGCCCAAAGACAACTCGAACACGGACCTCGGATGGCTCAGCTTACCATACAAACCTTTTCTGGCGGGGTTGACGATGGACAGGTCGTTGCAGGGGCTTCCGCCGATCACCAAATCGAAGGGACCCCACTCGTCAATCTGCAAGGGAGACCCGCTGTTAAGGGACGAGTCTCCGTCCCACGACAGCTTCCTTCTTTAAGTAACTAGTCCTCTTGTTACAACTGTCAGGGAGCTCGGGTTGTCGTTGCGCTCTAAATTGGGTCGCCCACGCAGCCGGCCCCATTTGATGACCTGTTTCGCGGGCCGTCGTTATAGGCCACTGCGATGTTGTTATGGGAAGCGTGGGTTTGATGGGGTGGGGGGCGGTTTTGCCGAAAACTGGAAGTCAGTTCCAGGTTTGGGCAAAACCGTCGTAAAATGCAGACACGTGATTGCAGCAGGCTGCAGTTCCGTCATGAAACCTCTGCACGGAAGTAAGCAAGCTTCGAGAGGACTTAAGACCCCAGAGTTCTCCCCCATTTCTCTTCCTCCTCAACTCCTAGTACTGATGATGTCACCTAGTTGGGTCATGAAACGTCTGGAAGAAAACCACCCAGCTCAGACAGCACCAAGAACCCTGGGGTTTTTTCCTCCTCCTCCTCCTCCTCCCCCCTTCTAGCACTGATGCTGTTGCCTAGTTGGATCATGAAACATCTGCAAGGAAACCACCCAGCTCAGACAGCACCAAGTTTTCCTCTTCCTCCTCCTTCCCCCCTTCTCCTGCTCGTCCTCCTCCTCTCCTTTTCCATGCCACAAACCCCCCTCCCTCTAACACTGATGAGGTTAGATAGTTTGGTCATGTAGCATCTCCAAGAAAACAACCAACCTCAGAGTGCACCAAGGACCCCAAAGTCCTCCTCCTCCTCTTCCTCCTCCTCTTCCTGTTCTCTACACAGCCACAAATGAATTCCATTGAAATTTTTGAGAATATTAAGGTCAACTGATTTGTTGCTACCCGTGCCTATGTGCAGAAATCTTCTCAACTCACAATTAGCACTTGCTAGGAATTAAATAAAGGTCCCTTGGTGGTTTTCTCATAGATGTTTCATGACCCAACTAGGGAACAGCATCAGTGCTAAAAGGGAGG